TCTCTCAATGTTGAGGACGTTGATAAAGATGACGAAATGCCTTTGTCAGAGTGAAATTTAATGTGAAAAAAAATTTAATGTGAATCAGGGAGCGTTCGGAACTTATCTTGACTCCTACATTTCAGTAGACGATGAGGTGGAAACTTTTCAAGTCCTAAGTGATAAAGAAATTGTTGAACTGGCGCAAAACGTGGAAATGGATGTCGATGAAGCTGAAGAAGAAGAAGACATCGTTGCTTGTCCTACGATCCAAGAAGCAATAAGAGCTGCTGAGACCATATCCAGGTTTTACCAGTTCAGGGAGGCATCCACAAATACCAAAGAAGCAGCTCAGCTTATTAAGGAAACAACAGAAAAACTTTATTTTTCGGAAAGGGTTGTGCAAAAGAAAATAAAGGACTTTTTTCAGCAATAGAATTTTTTTACACAATGTAAGTTTTATATACATACATAATATGTTTTGTTTTTTAATTGTTTTTTATCCTAAAATGATTCTTGTTTTTTTTTTAAATTTGACTTAAGTAAATGTTCGGTATATCGTAAACTATGTTAAATTATCATGTTTAGGCCCAGAGTAATTAACAAATAATATATCTACTATACCCAATAATGCTGTAATAATATTTTCCCTCATTAAAATTTCATTTTTCTCAACCTCTTTTTTAACGTCACTCTGATATAGCGTCATTTTTTTATTGGACCCTTCAATGACGCTATAACCAAGTTCCACTGTATCTTTTATATTCATATTTTTTTACTTTTAAATGCCACAAGAAAACAGCTTCAGAACAATATTATTGATACATTCTCCGTTAATTCGAATTTCGGCTTCAACATTCTCTACTGTTGCTTAAAAGATTTTCTCAGAGTATATGTTAAACAGCAAGGGTGATAATATACATCCCTGTCAGATCCCACGTTTGATTTCGATATCATCGCATTCTCCTGCCTCTGTATGGATAGACGATGTTTTATTCCAGTAAAGATTGCAAATAATTCTTAGATCAGAGCTGTTTATTCCAATATTTGTTAATATCTCCAACAGCTTGCCATGTTTTACTATATCGAACGCTTTGTGTTAATCAATGAAGCGTGTAAATGTCGTAATTCATATCTCTACATTCTGAAAACCAAACTGCGTATGGCTGATTTTTTCTTCACATAGTTTATATATCCTTTGATGTATGATTTTTTAGAAATAACTTCAAACTTTGGCTCATTAAGCTCATGGTCCGGAAATCATTGCAAGATATGGATTTTGTTTTCTTTGGTAGAGCAATAAACGTTGATTTCAGCCATCATCTTGGTATTACTTCGTTTAAATATATGTCATTGAATATTTTTGGTGGTCATTGAGTAAGTACCGTCGGTGGTAAATAGCTTTATGAGTTCAACATATGCATTGTCAGGTTCAGGAGCTTTGCCATCTTTTAGTTGTGATATTTCTTTTTTAACTTTATCTGATGTGTTTGGTAAGTGGTCATTACATATGTAGGACGGAGGTTGGTTGGACCTATTATTATCCAAGAGTTCTTGTATGTATTTGGTCCATATGCATATTTCTTGATTTTTATCTGTGATGATGTTGCCCTATTGATCTTCAAGTTTGCTTGCTTTTTGGGATTTTTGAATACCAGCTGCTTGTGTTACCTTTTTATGTATAATAATTGTATCGAGTTTTTGTATTTGTCTATGAATATTTTTATACATTCTTTTTTTTTTTATTTTCTTCTTTCTTTGATTAGTTGCAGTATATAACCATTCATCCAAGTTTTCCTTTTCTCTTTATTTTCTATTAGATGTTCTTCTCTGATCTTTTTAAAGGTTTGACATATATTCTGGAGTGATTCTTTTGAATCATATGTTTGCTCCATGTTACTTAGCTTTTCTGAAAGAATCCGTGCATTTTCTTTTTTGTTTTCACATTTTACGTTACTATTCTTTGATGTTGCGAAGAGACCTAAGTATACAAACGTCTTGGAGGTAGTTTTAAAAACGTATTTAGTATTGCAAGTTCTTCTTCCTCCAAATCACCAATTAATTCACCGCTTTTCCTTTTACTAATTTTCGCATTCAAGTCACTTATAATAATAGTTATATCTGCATTTTTAATTTGTTTAAGTAAATTTATCAACAACTTATTTAATTGCTCTACCTGTTTTCTGGTTTATCGCTGGTTGGGGCATACACCTGTAAAATATTTTATTTTACCGAGTAGTATTCAGTTGGATTATTATAAATCTTTCAGAAACAGGTATAACATTTGTCCCCATATTGACGTAATTAAGGAGATACGATTACTCTAATCCAATAAATATGTTGAGCGTCATCAGTTCCCGGGTGGTATACTATATGGTTGTCCACAATTGAAGTACCAATATTTGGCCACCTCATCATCATCATCATCATATTGGTGCTACAGCCCTTAGAGGGCCTCGACCTTCTCAAGCTTTCTACGCCATTCTGTTCTGTCCCTTGCTTGTATTTTCCAGTTGCCGACTCCGATCTTCTCCGCATCTTGTGTTACCCCATCCATCCACCTCAGCTTTGGTCTACCCCGTCGTCTCATTCCCACAGGTTGCGCTGTTAGAATCTTTTTTATCTTGTTTGATTCAGGGGCACGGGCTACATGTCCTGCCCACTGCAGGCGGTTTCGCTTAATTATAGTGGTAATATCTTTACCACCAAACGTATGCTTGTAGATATTCTGCAGTTCAAAGTTATATCTACGCCTCCATATTCCGTTCTCACAGACCGCTCCAAATATCTGGCGTAGCACCTTTCTTTCAAAAATGGATAGAGCGGATTCATCTGAGCGTCCATGCCTCTGATCCGTGTGTGAGAACGGGACTATCATGTTCTATACAGCCTTATACGAGTTTTTTGAGACAGACGTTTGTTAGCTAAGTACTTTGATAGACCATAATAACACCTGTTTGCGATTATTATTCGCCTTTTTATTTCCTCAGATGTATTATTATTGGGGTTAACCGATGTCCCTAGATATATGAACTCATTGACTGCTTCGAAGTTTTGGTCATTGATGATTAAATTTGTGTCAACATTTCCAGCTCTTGTGTTTGTGTTAGTCGCCATGAATTTGGTTTTATTTTGATTTATATGTAACCCCATTCGTTCTGCTGCTGCTACTAGCTCAGTTAGGATTTCCGCAGTTCTCGCCTAGTTCTTGTTATAATGTCCACGTCGTCTGCATATGCTAGAATTTGGACTAATCTATTAAATATTGTTTCCCTGCTATCTAAATTAGCGTCTCGTACAACTTTTTCTAAGGCAACATTAAAAAGCTGACACGCCAGCGCATCTCCCTGCCTTAACCCCCTATGTATTTGAAATGGGGTTGACGAGTCGTTTTGAATTTTTACTGCTGATAGCATCTTCGCCATTGTCACTTTTATCAAACATATGAGTTTTTTTGGAATTCCTAACTCATTCATAGCGTTGTAAAGACTTGGTCTTAAGACACTGTCATATGCCGCTTTAAGATCGACAAAAATATGATACATATCTATGTTAAACTCGCTTTTTCGAGGATCTGTCGTAGTGTAAAGATCTGGTTAATGGTTGAACGTCCAGGCCTGAATCCTGCCTGATATTCCCCTAGAAACATTTCAGTATAAGGCTTTAATCTCTCGTGCAAAATATTTGATAATATCTTGTATGCTGTATTTAGGAGAGTTATTCCGCGGTAATTATTGCATTCCAGTTGGTTTCCCTTTTTGTGTAACTGGCAAATTAAGCCTAAGCTCCATTCTTCTGGCATTTGCTCCTCAGACCAAATTCTACAAACTATTTCTCGCATCACCTTGGTGAGCTGCTCTCCACCGTGCTTAAATAACTCTGCTGGGATGCCATCGCTACCTGGGGACCTATGGTTCCTTAGTTTTTCTATAGATATTTTTAATTCATCTACCGAGGGGGGTTCCACGAGTTCCTCATTTCGGTATTCCAGCTCTATATTGTTAGTAGGTTCCCCTTCCAGCAACTCTCGAATTTGGCCACCTCATTTTGCTTATTTCTGTTATACCTACTCTAAGTCTTGTCATTACTTAAATGATATTATGTTATATAATATATAAGTTTTCCAGCCTGATACATTGTCTTCATATTCAAGGTACATATTTTGATAATGAACGAAGTTTTTAGAGACCCTTTTCAAGTTCTGTCACAGGGGTTTCTCTATGTTACGACCCTGGAGGCCCTGTGATCTAGAGGTGGATCAAATCCCCCGCCGAAGCTTAGCTTTCTTATTACATGATCAGTAGCTATTTCCACAGTAGTTGTTTGTCATGATAATTTTACTAGAGATGTCATCAGGGACTTTTAATGCAGTGGTTTCTCGTTGCCTTCTCCATCCTAATGCCGTTGACCACTTTCTTGGTTCTTCCGTCCTCGAGACCAATTTCTTAATCTCAGGAAAGCAGAGTGTCCTTTCACTTACTAGCTCATTATGCCAAGGCCGTTGGCCACTAAATGGTGGGTTGATTATCCCGGAAACACTCGAACGTCATAGTCTCGTTGGATATCTAGCAGGATGCACCAGATGATCTTGATCTAGTTCATCATACGAGCAGGTGAGGTTGACTTTGAATAGGAGAGGCTATATGTTGCGCATCACTAGCCCATTACACTCCACGCTCCGCTTCGCTTCGCTATCGCAAAAGTGAAGTCTATTTTGAAGTCAAAGGTAAATCATTTTACAAGAGCGGCATCGAAAAATTAGAAAAGCATTAAGTGATTGTATAGCCTCTAAAGATTATTGTGATGAATAAAGAATAATTTTTGAAAAATAGGTTGTTTTACTAGTTAGGTCCGGTACTTATATACCATTTAATATATTATTTGCATATAACTCTTATTGCATAATATATTATTAGATTCGTTACATTGCAGTAGAAAAAACCACAATTTACAAATAACTTTCTATTTAAAGTTTTAATTTTGTAAATTAATTATGGCTTATCAGTTGTGTTTATACAATTTTCAGTATGGCTCGGGTATAACTTAATATCAGTCCGGAACTGTCTATTCGTAATCTCGTGATAATTATTAGATATTTTTAATAACAAGTTCGACAGGTCAATAGGAGGACACTATAACTAAATGAAGTAAAAATTTAGTGTATATTTTATTGAATGAAAAGTTACGTATGCGCTATAAAAAATACAGGTAGTGTAGATTAAAACTTAGTATTTTGAAATTATTTTAAAATGTTTGTTTATTCGAAATTATCTATTTATGGCACAAAGTAAGTAAATTTATTTTAAAGAATGGACCAAAATATAAAATATTCTTTATTATCATGGTTACTAAAAAAATATTTTAAATTTTGTTGAAATAAAGTTATATAATATTAATAATAAAAAATCTTTGACAACTAAATTTGAAAATCAACTAGTTCAATAGAGTGGATTTTAAAACATCTGAAAACCTATGAATTTAACATCACACAATACATAGCTTTCATAGACTGTCACAGTGCTTTTAATATGATCTGTAATGAGAGAAAGTATTTACTTCTTCTTTTTGTTCCTCTCCTATTAGAAATTGGATATCATCAAGGCTATTCGAACATTATTTACAACTGTGTTAAACAATTCGTTTGTTGTACAACTTAGCCGCTTTCATAATTTTGACATCCAGGACATTCCTCTGCGATCTGGGTTTCTTGATCCTTTAATCTTTTCCTGCAGTATATTTTGTTGGAATGTGTATTTTTATCCCCGTATTAGATGGCCAAAATATTCCAATTTTTTTTTATGGTAAGTATTACTTCAGCCCATTTTCAATCACACTTATTTGTGACTCGGTCAACCCAATGTATTCTTAATATTCGTCGATTCATCGACATCTTGAACCTCTCAATGCTTTTGATATTCTACTGGTTGAGAGTCCAATATTCCAAACCTTATTGTATTCTGATGACGTGACATTACAGTTATTAAAATTTCTTCGTTTTTATGAAATTTACCTAGCAATTTTAATACGTCTTTTGATGTCAATATTATGTGTAAGTCTCCTTTACTTATTACTTTACTCGTTTATAACATCTTCCAGGTATTTGTACTTGTTCGCCGTTTGCATGGGGAAGTTATCTCTCTTTCTCTCTCTCTCTCTCTCTTCCTCTCTCTCTATTTCTTTCTCTCTCTTTCTCCAGTTCCATCCTGTCTTGTGGAGTATTGAGAGTTTATGCGTTTCTTGCCAAAAGTGTAAGATTGCTGACTGGTCGCGTCAGCGCATCTTCTTGTTTATTCTCTGTATAAACTGAGTACTACTTCTTTTCATATTCTTCTTGCTCTGTTTTTAATTTCATTCCATCAATTTTTTTCATATTCTCTCGTTACAGTTCTTTTTCAGCTGCTGTCTGCTCTTACTTTTTTCTTTTGGTTGTTATTCAAGTGCTTGTCTGGTTATGTTGCTTTTAGCTTTCTTCAAAGTAAATCCATTTCCATTTTTTTCCTTGACAGTAGTAATGTTAGTTTGCTTTGTTCTTTCCATAGTTTTGTATTAGATATTCAGTATATTTTTAAACTTTGTTTATAAAAATGCTTCTACTCCGTAATGTAGTATAGTTTTGATGCAACTATTAAATATTTTAATTTTTGTGGTTTCTAATATCTTGTTTGTTTGTCAGATTTGATTGCGTTGAATGCATTTTAAGCCTTTATTATTCTCATCCTTTTTACATCCCCCGTTCCTTTCCATGACTGATCCCAAATATGTGAACTTTTTACCTCTTCTAGTTTTTTACCTTCTATCATTATTTTAATATTTGGGTGGCTATTATTTTTGAGAGTGAGAAGTGGGAGTTTGGTTTTCTCTGTATTTATTCGGAGTCCAATTGTGTCTAAGTACTGTGCCAACTTGTTAATTTTTGTTGTCATATGACTTCAGTGTTTAGTTAGTAAGCAGATGTCATCCGCAAATTCAATATCTTCTAGTAGATTAAATAGGTTCCGTCTGATTCCTGTTCGATCGTCAGGTACTTTTCTCATTACCCAATCTATCTTAATAAGGAATATTGTAGAGGTAGAGAGATAGTACACAACCCTGTTTGACTCCACTTTCTATGGCTATTTCTTCTGTCACTGTTCCTAAATGTTCCAGTTAGTTAAACTTTCCCCATCTGTACCCTGTTTACACGGCCGAAGGCGATAAAACTAACATCAATATCCTTATTATATTTATATTTTTGTTCCAAAATAATTCTAAGGGTACAAACGTCGTCAATGGTGGAGCGTTTCACACGGAAGCACGCTTGGGTACTTCTCAGTTTTTATCTAGTTTCGTCTTCAATATTTTCAATATGATTTTGGTCAACATGTTTAATGTGGCGCTTAAGAGTGTTATTGCACTCCAATTAGTACATCCTCTTAGGTCTTCTTTTTTGGTTATTTTTTTTATCAACCCCTCTTTTCACTCCTTGGGTAATTCTTCGTCAGTCCATATCTTGTTCAAAAGTTTATGTAACATTTTCATTGATTAGTTAGTATCTGCTTTTATTGGGTCTATGCATATATTGTCAATTTCTAAGGCTTTTCTATCTTTAAAAGTTTTTGTGTATTTCAAATTTATTCCATTGTAAGTTCTTCAATATTCACTTCTAGCTCTGATGGTTTTTCTTCATCTTTTATATTTCCTCGAAGTATTACATCCACCTTTGTACTAGTTCTTTTTCATTTTTGATTTTATTTAGTTTATTTGTCCTTTCTTCTTCTTTTTAGTCCTTAACCTTATGCAGGTATCGTGATATCATGAAGCTATTAGCTAAATTTTCCAATGTTCCTCCACGTTTTTCTATCTTCTGCAATTCTATCACATTCTGACAATGGAGCGCCAATGGTAGCAACAATATGGTCCGTGTATCGTGTGGAAGGTCTACCTCTATTTCTTTTGCCTTCTACTTTTCCCTGGATGGTAAGTTTTGAAGACCATGTCTTCGAAGCACATGTCCAAAATAGCTTATTATTTGTTCTGATATTTGTGTTCTTAGTCTTTTCTTTACGTTTAGCTGGTCCAGTATGGATTCATTTGTTTTTCGGGCCACCCATGGTATTCTCAGCATTCGTCTCCAGCAGTAGATCTCAAATACATCTATGTTCTTTTTGTCTTTCTCAGTAAGGGTCCAGCATTCCGATGTATAAGTAAAAACTGGAAAAACTGGACTTCTTACTATTCTCATTTTTGTATCGGTAGTCATTTCATGGCTTTTGCAAATTTTTGTTAATTTTGCCATAGCGCTTTTTGCGATTGCTGACCGCCGCTTTATTTCTTCAGTACAGCCTCCTTTGTTGCTTATTAATGAGCCCAGATACACAAATTTATCTACAACAGCGATATTGTTTATCATGACCAGATGATTTTGATTGTTGTTAGCTTTGTCAATTATCATGATTCTCGTTTTATCTCTGTTTATTTTATGGCCCATCGTTAAGCTAACGTCTTCTATCCGTTGTAGCAGGTAAATCAATTCAGCTTCAGAACTAGCGAGGATAGTAGTATCATCTGCATATCTTAAGTTGCAAATCTTCTTCCCGCCAATGGTGATGCCACCGTTCTAGTCCTCAGTAGCTTTCCGCATTATCCATTTACCATAGATGTTAAATAGAATTGGGCTTAGTATGCAGCCTTGTCTCACGCCCTTTGTGACCCTGAAACTATCGGTTAGTTCCCCATTTATTCTAACTCTGGCATAATTCTTATTGTTGTTATGGTTGGGGACTCCCATTTCAGACAAAACCTGCCACATTTTACTCCAGTTGACCAAATCGAAAGATTTACTATAATCTATGAAGCATAAATATGTTGTGATGTTAAATTCTCTGGATTTTTCTACAATCTGCCGTACGTTTAAAATTTGTTCTCTAGTACCACGTCCGGGGACGAAACCTGCTTGATCCTCCGCAATGTTAGGTAGTAAAAAGGGCTTTATCCTCTCGAGAATTATGTGTAAGAGTATCTTACTGCAATGCGCAATTAGAGCAATTGTGCGATAGTTACTACATAAATCTTTCGCTCCCTTTTTTTGTATGGGAATATATAGTGATCGTGTCCAGTCCTTAGGCCATTTACCTGTCTCCCACACTCTTTGACAAATTTAATGTATTATATCCACTCCAACCTCATCTAGGGCCCAAATTATTTCAATCGGTATGTTATCTGCACCGGCAGCTTTCTGACTTTTTTGCCTCATAATTGCTGCTTCAACTTCACTTTTGAGTACGTCAGGTTCCGTTGCAGAACTGGCATCTTCTTGTTGTGATGGGGCGTCTGTGCTTTTTTCCATTATCAGTCGTCCACAGTATTCTTTCCATCTGTGTAAAATATCTTTTTTAGAAGTGAGTAGAGTTCCGTTATCATCTTTGATAGCAAGGTAGTTTGGTATAAAGGAACATGTTATCTGCTTTATTTTATTTTCTTTTTTTTTTAATTTTTTTTTATGTCCTTTACTTGTCTTATATTTCTTTATGCCTTTCCTGTTATGTTTCGTATAATTACATATTGTGTTCGTAGGTCATTTCCTTGTGCTGCTTTCTCTGATAAAGGGCATCCCCGTTAAGATAGGCAAAATCCCCTTTCTCGCAGAATTTAATTTTTTCATTTTTTTACGTTTACGTTCTACGTAAACTAAAAAATACAAAAAATTCATATGCGTAGATGAGGCTTTTACAAAACATGTCTATTTTTTATGAACCTGTAGGTTGAGTGTACATAACATAAAAATGCATATTTTTTTTTTCGAAAAAACATAGAACTTTTTTTTTAATTGCTGCAGGTCCATTTTCTTTCTGATTTTGTATATTTGATTAAAAACCATATCATATATTTTTTTATATAGTGCGATTTTTTCGTATAGTGCGCTATCTTGAAAAATCCAAAACATTATTTTTTAAAGGGTTTTAAGGGACTTTCTCCATTTTATATTCTTACATTTTATTTTTTATGGGTTATACATTCTAAATTAAATGATGTCTTAAGAAAATTTAAAAATTGGGTAAAACACCTTTAAACCATCCCAAAAATTATGTTTTTTGCAGTTTTTAGGGATTTTGGTGGAGTTAAATATATTTTTTGACATCGACACAACCTAAGTCAATGTTCTCATATGTTTACTGTTTACGTAATTAAAAAAAATTAGGTACAGCGTAATTTGTCATGTTTGAGTGTAC